TTTGATTTTTGTACTTGATTTATATGTTGATCCCACATTTCTCCTATTATTATTATTATTTTTATTTTTAATAAAATGCTGAAGTGGTAGGTAGATGCAAGATAAAGGTAGAAAACATAGTTTAGTGCTGTAAGAAGGCAAATGTAGATGATCAGATGATCAGGTGTGTGCCTATGGACTAAGTATTAATCCAGGCTAGACAAGGGCAGCAAGACATCCACGGATGCAGAAGATTTCTCTCAAAGCAGGGGGGGTGAGGTTCTGAGCCTCACCTCTGTTGATCCCCAAATTCTCACCTGATGGTCCCCCTGCGACTGTGCCTGTCTTAGGTTGTTCCTCCCTTGAGGAATCTTACTCGTCTCTGGCTAACCAGTCATCTTCCGGGGCCATACAGGGAAATGTAAAGTTGGTAAGTGAGAGAGAAGCCATATTGTTTGAAAAGGTTAGCTTTTTACTTCTTTGCAGATTTATGCCCTGTGGTGAAGGAGAGAATTTTTAAGTGTGCCTTAGATTGAGAATTATTTTACTCCCAGCTCCTCCAATAGTTGTTTGAAGACTACTCCTTATTTTTTCACTGAAATTTATACTGTTACTGTTCACAGTGCCTGAGCTACCATTCTTCCCATAATTCTGCGTTGTAAAGCTAATTGAACAATTAACCTCGGAAAAGCACACTTTTTAACTTCTAAATCAACAACTGTGCCAACACATTAGAAAACTCCAAGGGTGAGAACATTTACAAAACGGGCACTTGATTATATTCCATAGCTGTGCATCGAGCTCAGATTTAAGACCTTACTAGAGGTCATCACACTCTGGATGAGGGGCTAATCGCAGAATGGTTGGTTAGTCGTCTCAAATCCTAACAATTCCCACATTTTGGTGTACCTTGAATTATAGAATGAATAAGGAAAACATTTATCTCCCTGGAGAAGTACAGGAAAAAAGTAAGATATTTGCCTTCTCTCTGGGAAGAAATGAGGCAGCTAGCATCATACTGCTTTTCAGGACAAATCTCTTTGTGGCCTTAGTGAAAAACAATGTGCATTGCAAGCAAAAGTAGCCAATTGAAGAACTTTTCATTTTCCCCTTTTCTCTTTTTGCATGCTAGTCTGTCTACTGCTTTTTATGTCTCTGTTTTCCCATCTATAAAATGGGGATTGTATTAGTTTTCTACTGGGTGTAGCAAATTACCACAAATTTAGCAGCTTAAAGCAACACCCATTCAGTACACAGCCCACAGTTCAGTCGGTCAGAAGTCCTTACAGAAGGGAAGGCACAACTGAGATCTCTGCTAAGGCCTTGCTAAATCAAGGTGTTGGCTGTGGCTGTGGTCTCGTCTGAGGCTGGGGTTTCTTCCAAGTTCATGGGGTCGTGGCAGATTTCAGTTCCTTATGGTTGTATGATTGAGATTCCATTTCTTTACTGGCTCATAGCCAGGGGCTACTCTCAGCATCCAGAAGCTGCCCACATTCCTTATCAGGTAGCCACCTCCATTTTTAAACCCAGCAACAGAGATCTCCCTCAAGTCAAATTCTTTTCACTCTTCAAATCCCCTTTGCCAGGAAGAGCCCGGTCTTTTGAAGAGCTCACCTGATTAAGTCAGGCCAATTGAGGATAATCTCCCTTAGGTTCAACTGATGTGGAGTCTTAATTACACCTCCAAAACCCTTTTGCAATAGTGCCTAGATTGAAATTTTGTGGAGTATCTGGGAGGAATGTGCATATCAAGGGATGATCTTGGGTGTCATCTTAGTATTCTGCCTACCACAGGGATAACAACGATACCTTAGGGTATTGTTAAATGGATTAAACGATATAATGTGTGTGTAAATCATTTAGCATAATATCTAGTGTAATAAGTGGGATCAAATATTATTAATGTCTATGTATACTGTATTTCCTTGTCCACATGGATTTTTGAGTTATATTATTATAAGCACATTAGAAACATGATGGAATATGTTAACTATTTGCATGCTCCACAAAAAACAGAGATACTGGGGCCATAGTCAACAAACTCACAAACCCAGTGTTTAGTCTGTTGCTGAAGTAAACATACTAATTCAACTTATTTAAAAACACTGCAGTGAAAAAAAAAAAAAGAAGAGTCCAGGACACAATTCACATTGGTACTCAAGCTTATATATAATGTGACATAAGATGAAATATGGGTCTCTGCATTGTTCATTTTTTGCTTTTTAGTAAGAAAAATGAATCACAAATCCATGCCTTCAGCACTGACATTTTTCAGAAGAAATTGTTTGTTTCTACTCATGCTCTGAATATAAAATGAATACTTCAAATGCTCCATTCACACAAAGGCCTTTATGTCCCTTTCTCTCTTTAATGGTTCCAGTCTAGAATAGACAACATTATGCAATTTGGTGCAGCTACAACCAAGAGAATGCTTTACACAGGCTGTAAGAAGACACCTAAGGGGTTAACAGTAATATTTTGCAAATTGAGGCAAGTGAAGAAAAAATACATTAGCATAAGAAAAGGTAGCCTTAGGGGATTTTCCACTCAACTGTTTGGCACTAAGAGCTCTATGTTACCAAGGAGGAGGCCAAAGAAGCAAAACCCTGGTGTCTATGCATTCTTGAAATACACTGCCATTGTATTATTACACTGGTGAGAAAGACCTCACAATTACAGAGTTGGAAATGGTTTTCTTGTAAGGAAAGTCAAAATTGGATATATTAAGAAAAGCACCTTGAGTCAGGCATTGCAGCAAGCAAGAGGATTCCTCAGTGATCAAACCCAAAGAGATTTCCTAAATATGTCAGGACTACCCTAGAGGTGGTATGAGATTGAAAATGAAAGTATTAAGCAGTGATTTTTAATTGTTAACTGGAATGTTAACAGTTAATTGTTAAATGGAGTGCTATTAACTCAAACTGAATGGTTTTAAACTCGTTTCTGAAATTGTGTCTAACTCACAGTAACTGAATGTAGTTAGTAGATATTTCCCTTTTATTAATGCTTACACTTATTTAAAGATTGTTAAATAGGAAATATCCAGTTTCAAGTTATGATTATTTTCATTAGTTCAAAACATCCATAAAAATTAAAAGATGCTCACAGACTTTCTTAAAATAGAGAATATAACTAGTCAGTTAGCTGTTTCTATGATCACACTGAATTCGTTTCTGATCAGTCTTGGCTTTACTTTTATGAACAACTGACCAGTAAAAACAACGATCTTTTTAATGCTGAATTTCATTAGATTTACCACCACAGTGAGCATGACTGCCCGAATAAATCATGATAGATTCATTAATAAATTTAGATAGTGAAGGGCCAGCATCTTTTAGGTAAACATTTTATGACATTATATACTGATAGCTATAAGAGAAATTGTGGGGGGGGGAGGGTGCAAAAGAATTTGTTGCCTGTTTCTAAGAAAAGTCTTTGCAGATTAAGATGACACACTTTTTGGCTATTAAAAATGGGAATGAAGATCAAAGATCATCCAAATCCTAGAAAATCTGTCCAAAAATGGATAATAAAATTATTTATAAGTCAATTGATAAGGTCAATTTTCAGGAAATAATGTGTCAGAAATCAACTGAGAAACACAGTTATACCGCTCTTCAAATTTCCTATTGAGTAGTGGGTCAACCTTGCATTTAAATCTTGTTTATCTTGTCCTTTCCTTTATCTGTTTTATTCATGGATATTAAAGAGCTGTGAGTGATCAAGGTTTCAGGTCTTTGTCCCTGAGAAGATGACTTACATAAATAGATCTGCTTTCTCAACACAAATTACTCTGAAGCACTTGATCAAGAAAATAATACAACCAAAGCTTAAGGGAAATTTTTTTTAAAAAAGAAAGATTTAAACAAGTATAAGATAATTCCTGTGGTGGTGAAATTATAATATGGTTTTACTACTTTCTGAGATGCTGTGAATATAGCATCCCACATCAACGTAAATAAAAATGGATTCCAAAACTGAACTGAAATACTTTTGATGGTCCAGATCATTTCCAACCCTAATATGGAAACTGAGATTATAGACCAAAACTCTTTTCAGTATTAATTTGACACTCTATTCCCCAAGTTTACTCATAAACTGTGTCATCCACTGGCTAGTTCTTGGGCAAAAGGAATTTGTATAATCAAGGTAATTTATTTAGGTATAATTGATCATTTCAATGTATGTGAGAGGGTATGGGGATTATTTTTTTATGTAGGAACTGGTTCTAAACTACAAATATTTTGTCAATGTTCTAAATTATGCGTTCTGAAAGGAGTTTTCAGATCTGCTGTTTACCACAGGCTGTCTAGGATACAGCCCTTTCTGATACTACTGCCACCATATTTTCTAGTCTGTGAGGATGGGGTAAAGTGAAAAGAGCTGTAAACTCTGGGAGTGTCTGTGATAAATAGTAGTTTCAGATGCCTGCTTATTTAGACAGGGATTATGGATGGCATTCTTCTTACCATGTAATACCTGTCCTTTTATAGAGAGAGACAGTGAGACACATAACATCATATTTATTTTACTTCTTGTACTTTTTTCTCTCCATTCAATAATCAAAAGACAATCTTCTTTTAACCGTATTTAGCATTTTCCTATTTAATTTCTCAACTTGATTTCCCTTTTGACAAGGAATACAGACTGTTGACATGTTGCTTCCAATTTACCCTGGAATCAAGATACAATGGCTTTCTTCCTTTTACAGTATGAAGAAGCAAGTCAAGCTGCTATCGATAAAATAAGCCACAGCTACCAAAACCCATGGTATGTACCTACTAATAAATTTTTAATTAATGTGTTTCCTTCCTAAATTAGTAACAGGGTTAATTTTTTAAAAGTATATTACCATCTTATTTGTTTTTATTTCACATAGGTTTCTTTGTAAAATTAGGAATTTTTATTTCTAATAATACAAAATTTTCATGATCTACTGGGGTCTTAATTAAGGGGAGAAAGAGGCAAAGTAATCCTGGAGGAAGCAGCTGTTAGAATATAGTGGAGAAGAAAAGAGAACCAGCCTGCAGCTATTCAGAATAGCCACTGGATGAGTAGGAGAACTTTATACAAATAATTGTTTCTTTGGAAAAATAATTTTTTTAGTTTAAAAAAAATCTCATTTCATGCTGTTGGCCTAGAAACCATCATAATGGGTAATCTTGGTTAATAAACATATTTCTACTAAAGTTACACAATGGCTTGGATTCACACTACTTTAAAGCAGCCTCTAACCTATAAGCACGTCTAGCTCAAAGTAGTTAAATTACAGGAAAAGAGCAAAACTAGGCTTGTCATGTAGATGTGACATTGAATTCGGATTCCTAAGAGGGAAGGGATCAATCAGCATTACCTTTTAAGATGGTCAGTTCAATAATGTCTCTGCTACCCTTTGATTTTTGGACTTGAGGGTTACTGGAGCCTATTTCACCTCATTTTTAATTGTCAGAGCATACTGCTGTTAGCATGTGCTAAATTAATGAGTTTAATCTCTTTCCATTATACCACAACAACATAAACTACACCAAAAAGAGATGAGCCCTCAATCCTATGTCAAAAGCCTACTAGTTACTACAGCACATTTCCAGGGCAACAGAAGATCTCACTGGGCAATTCCTATAGTTTGTAAAGCATATTCTACATTTAAAGTCACAGAAAAATAGTTACAGTTTATTGTATGCAAAGCACATGTTGTCATTAAAGTATTCCAAACTTTGTTCAGATAACATTGCAGGCATCTATCTACAAATTCTCTATCAAATATTTCCAAGCAAAAATAAATAAATAAACCACTAAAGGCCACTGAAAATCAAAGCAGCCTCAGCAAGCATTGGTGACATAAGTGTGAAAATTTGCCACGTTTAAGTGTTAAAAACTTGTTAGAAAGTATCTGAGAAATAGTGCAGCTTTGAACATTCTCCTTGGATGAAAGATGGTTGGCCGCATTCATGCCAGGGAATATGATATGGATTGTACCAGGTCATGAGAATGTTAAAGTTTTATGAAAAAGACCCTTTACTCTGAGAACTGTGAATTCAATTGGGAAATTGGAGATATATATATATATACTAGGGAACAATTCTGCATATATTGAGTGCCATATTCATAATGGAGACAATCATAAATTAGAGAATTATAACTAGAAAAGTTTTTTAAAAGTATAATGATGACCCCTTTCAGACTGGCCTGTGGCCCATTTTTAACTAGTCAGAAGCCGATACCTAAATATTTCCTTCCTCTTGAGACTAAGCTTAACAGCCTTCCTGCCCTATGTTTGCGCTGGTAGGATGCTCTTGAATAGGACACTCATTTGGTCAGGCCCAGACTCACCTGTGCCCCTTATCTTCTCTAAGGGGGACTGAGGGCCGCCTCCTTCCTGGGCAAGCTGAGTGCTTAGCCTCCTATCGGGTGTCATATTCTGCCCTTCTCAGTCACCAGCGTTCACGAAAGCAAGTACCTCCTGGCTTGAAGCACAGCTAGATTCTGTGGCTACTGTGGTGAACAGTATATGTCCTTATTGGAATCGGTATTCTAGAGGAGAAGATAGAGATTCAACATTTATTTTTCTCCTCATTTACTCATTTTTAAATTTATTTTTTATTGAAGTATAGTTGATATACAATCATACTAGTTTCAAGTATACAGCACAGTATAATCATTTAAAAGTGAATAATTTCAAGGAGGAGTGTTTAATACAAAGAAATGGAAATTCAAGAAAACAGAAACAAATATTTGGAAGTTATCACTGGTCTAGAAAAAGCATTGAAGAAAGAGTAGGATCATTTTAGTACAACAAGCAGTAAATAATTTTGTCTGCTGACATAAAGAAGGCAAGGGTCCTCTCTGTTTTTGAGTCCAGAAGTCCAGTAGAGGACAATTACAGGATTTCCTCTATTCTGAGGCATACATTTAAAATTTTAACTTTCTTGAAATCAGGATGTGTTTTATAATAGTTGTTTACAGATACAGTGTATATAGGTGGTACCTCTTTTTTCCTCCCATGTAAAGCTGTTATTGAATCAACTGTGTTATAAGATACAATTTACTGGATCTTAAAAACCAATAAAGATATACTTCAATAAACATGAAATGAAGACCTGCTGCATGTCAGGGTGCTCAGACTTAAAAAAATAATAAGCAGGGTCTTTACTCTCACATAGCTCAGACTTTCAGGGCAGATAAATGTAAACAGAAGATTTCAATACAATATATATTGATGGAGAATGGATGTGGGTTAACTCTTCTTTGTCCTTCTGAATTAAAGGAAACATTCTCTTGTTTTAAATATCTTAAGTTCTCTGGATATGTGACCAGATGATCAGCTCATTTTTCATATAGTCTCTTCTGTTTGCAGTTGGAGCTTTTCTAATATATATACATACACACATGCATATACATATATATATATATACACATTATTTCTAATTACAACAAAAATGGAAAGCTCAGATAGTAAATGGAAGACAGTTTACAGTCAAACTAAAAGAGATCATAAGAGAATTCACTGCAAACAGTGAATTGACAGGGCTTTTTGTTTTAAGAACTAAATGAATTCTGTGAAGCCATGGTTACTGAAGATTGACGGGCATGGAAGTATCTTGTTTTTCATCTACTTTTCATTACATCTGACACAGTGCTTCGCATCTATGGACACTCAGTATAGATTTGCTGGATTGTATATGAAAGACAAATCCCAGTTCTTATACTCACAATGGCACAGATTGGCATCGTTCAGCTTGAGAAGCTGGGGGAGTTCAAGTCATGAGGAATTCCTGAAAGAAATGAAATTTAAACTGGGTTTAGAAGGAACATTCTAGGAAAAGCTCTGGCTGCCCATTGGCTGAATTTTTTTATCCACATAAATCAAAGTCTTGCTAACATTACGATATGAACAGAATTATTCACATTATTCCAGAAAGACACTGCTAAGATGCCTCTGACCTGATGTCACAACGAAGTTGCCTCTTTGCCAGTTGGGGCACCTGATATTTGTCACTTATTTTCCAGTTTATAGATTTATCTGAGGAATAAAGTCTTAAGGAATATTTCAAGTTCCTTACAACCACCACTGTCAGTAGATGACAGTGGGGGCAAGGGGCCGAAGAAGGGGGCGCCAGATTCCGAGGTAAGGGCAACCAGACTGGACGTCGGTCCTGAAGAGAAGAGAAGCATGAGTTTAAAAGGATCTGAATTAATGACAACATCCCCTAACTTTTCATCTACTTGAGAGTCACAGAGCACAGCTCTTTTTCAGAGTTGGCTTTTCCACTTTGTTTTCTGTTGCTGCCTTTTCACAACCCCAGGATTCCTCAGGCATCACCCACCCTCAAGAGCTGCAGAGCAGACGGCAGACTTGAAAGAGTGCCAGACAGAAAATCAGGAAAGCTGCTTTCACAAAGAATCTATCCTTCCCAAGGAAATAATAAAGGAGATACGCAAATGTTTAGCCAAAAGGAAGTCGAACAGTGTTTGCCATAAAACAAAGTCAGAAATAACCTTAAATCTCCTAAATAGGGGAGGTAAACAATTATGAAACAGTATTGATACAGTGATTAAGAGCAATGACTCTGAGGACAGACCCTGAGTTAAAGTTCCAGCTTCATCACCTATTAGCTGGGACACCTTGGACAAATTATTTAAACTATTTTTGCCTCAGTTTCCCAATCTATAAAATGATGGTAACAAAATTTACTCCAGTACGTTGTTGTATAGATGTGTTGTTACATATACAGCATCTAAAATAGCACTTGGTACATACAAAATACTCAGTAAATATTGTGATCACATAATTTTTCACCCAAAACAGGATATTTTGAGAGTGAAACAGGAAGCTAATCAAATGGGTCACCTGGACAATAGATTAAACCAAAACTATCCTGATCAGGTCATTCTAGTAATAAATGTTATCTGTTAGTTAAACAAATGAAATACAATGAAATAATTTAATAAAATGAATTTGTTAAAATTTATATTATATTTTAGCTAAAAATAATCAGTATGTAGTTTCAGTATAGGACAGAAATTGCAAATGATATAGCTGTTCTTCTCCCAAAAGCAGAACCGAAAGGCAAAGAGATAGAGAAGAATGGAAAAATAAAAAAATAAGAAAACAATTAAAATTAAATTAGGCTGATATCTAATAAGAGATCTAGAAAGAGAAAACTGAAGTAAGGAAATCAATAATACAAGAAAATTTCTCAGAAGGACATAATATGAATTTCTAGATTGAAAGTCTTCATCAAAGCAAATAAAACAAAAAAGAACAACTAAAAATCTACATCAAAGCATGTCACCATGAAGCTTTATTATACTAAGATGAAGAGACAGTTCTAAAACCTTCCAGAGGATAAATAAAGGATTAGGAGTCATAAGGTATCATATTTTCTATTCTTGATAGCAATACTGGACTCTAGAAGACAATGGGCCAATGTATTCATTCCATGTCTGCCAGAAAGTGGCTTTCAATCTAGAATTGTATACCCAGCAAACAATCAAGAGGGAAGGTAGAAACAAACCTGTTCAAGCATGCTGGAGAATATTATCTAGCAAGACAATGGGGGGGATAGATCAAGGGAAGAGAAAGGAATCTGATCCAAGAAACAAGAGACACAACAAAGGTGACAGATAAAAGGAATTCCCAAGATAGCATTAAAGGAAAGTACCAGGAATGTTGCCATGCAGGGGCCTAGAGAACTATCAATTCAGATAGCAGCAGGACAAGTGGGGGCTTCAAAGGGAGCAATTATTATATACAAATACTCAGTTAAGCT